TACGCCCCCCCTCTCTCTCCTTCTCCCTTCTCCCCCCCTCTCTCTCCTTCTCCCTTCTCCCCCCTACCCCTCCCTCTCCCTCTCTCTCCCACTCTTCCTCTCCCTCTCTCTCCCACTCTTCCTCTCCCTCTCTCTCCCTCCCTCCTCTCTTTTCTTCTCTCTAAATCATTCGCTCATATGTTTGATATATTCGCACCTTTTGTTAAGTTTGAATGATTTATTGTGTTGTTATATTAGTGATATATTTAAATAAAAATAACTTGTTTTTCTTCGAAGTGAAATAGAGTGTGTAAAGGAAACTTTGAGTATAAATAATGATTGCAGTAAGCCTATCAACTGTAAATATCACACAAACAATGGTTATTCTCAAAGGAAAACATTAATTAATACTTATAGGTGTAGTGTTTATATTTATAACAGACTGATTTGAATTTTGGGGAAATGGGTGAGTCCATTACCGAACGTGGGGGAAGTCCGGCAAGTTGAGACTGTATGAAGGAAGTTACCAGACCTCCCCTGCGTACGAGTGCAGTGGACCTGCGTGTGTGTATGTTTGTGCAAACCCTGGGCTGTCGTGTGAGCCAATGACCTTCAGTAGAGGCGGCACGTCAGGGTCAGCGTCTCCGAGCTAAATCCGCGCCATACGTCAATAGCCTCAGCACGAGCGTCACGCCATCCCCTTCAGAGCCGCCATGACGCGCGTTTTCTGAGGCCGGAAGGAATAGCCCCGTTTTCTGTGATGGAAAAAAGAAAATGGGTCACGCGATTAACCTTCGAAGCCCTAACTGCTGTAGGTTGGGAATTTATTTAAATTTATGGTCTAGTACATTTCCTCTTATATATAACACTTTCATTCAATCATTTACCATTATTTCCAAACGGGGAAGTACTACACTTGCTGTTTGTTAAGAAAACAGAATCACACTACTTATCATTAGTCTGCAGTCTCTAAAAAGAGTGTCAGTGCAGAGGCCTTGATTCTGAACCTGACATTAACCTTGATAGTTTGATGACCTTGACAGTCTCGTTGTTTCCTTGGCCGTGGCCTGAGTTCCCTTGGAGACTTGATTTCTTTAGTTATGAAGAATCTGAACTAGAGTCCTCAAAAAGGATTTAGTTTTAAGGAAAGACTAACCTTTGTATGTGTTACGTGAATGGTTAATAAAAAAGCTTAAATGGTATCTCGAGCGCACACCCACAGATGCAAACACACACGCCCATACATGCTGACGCGCACGCACATTATACACTATTTGATAGGCTTAGGATAAGGAAAAAGTGGATGGGTTAAAGGAAGGATTGTAAGTGGGCGTGAGAAAATTATATTGCAAGAATAGGGAAGGGGAGAAAATAACGGAAATAATTTTTTTTTATAAAAAGAATATGGAGAATGCGAAGAAAAAATCCTAGGATACAGTGAAACGGTAATAGAAGGAGTATGTCAGAGAAGCAGGTATGCAATAGCAAAGCGATATGGCGTGCATAAACCATTGGAGAAGGCGACGAGGTGACCTTGCGTGGGGTCGAGGAGAACGGGAAGGTTAGCGGCGTGACCTTGGCGGGGAAATGTGTCTCAGTCAAGGGAAAGGCGGCGGGAGAAGCGGGTCAGACAGCCAGGTGCAGCAGCGAAGGCCTCAGTCAAGGACACCTTGCTCTCCCGAGGATGTTCCAAGGTCGCGTGAGACCACGTGAGAGAGCGGAAGCGCGCGTGCGCACCATGATTCATGGAGCCGCCTTTCGTAACGATTTCCTCAAAGGCGGATTGGAAAGAGAGTGTAGTGTTCTAGATCATTCATTTACGGGAATGGATGTCCATATGTACGAATGCAAACGTGTAGGACATCGGCGATTCGTTGGAACACGTGTGTGAATGAACGTGGCGACGCGGAATGTGTGCGCGAGTATGAATGAACGTATCTCGCGTCACCTGAATGGACATACGTTTGTAAGTGTGTGTGGTGAGTTTCTGGATAGCATTATATATGAATCTTTAATTGTAGATATTGGTCATGTTTTTTTCTTCGGAAATATGATCTCGAAGCACTTATTTATCGTTTACCATTTGCAGAAGTATGGATAGCTTTGCGAGCGAAAGATCAATATTCGTTTGAACAGATATGTATGGGAAGTCGCCAGGAGAGAGGAGGGGAGCGTAGAATGTTGTGCATCTCGGCTCAATACTAGATGCAAGGGGAAGCATCCCCCCCGCCTCTCTCTCTCTCTCTCTCTCTCTCTCTCTCTCTCTCTCTCTCTCTCTCTCTCTCTCTCTCTCTCTCTCTCTCTCTCTCTCTCTCTCTCTCTCTCTCTCTCTCTGCATCTTCCTATCTCGCCCTCCTCGTCTGTCTTCCTACCCCCTCTCCTCCCTTCCCCTCTTCCCTCTCTCCACCCTCCCCTCTACCTCCGTCCTTACCCTCTTCCGTGTTCTCTTCCCATGGATTCCCTCGCATGTAACAGGTGTCCCTTGCCATTAATGTCAGGCACGATGGTGCACGCAGGGGAG